AGGCCAGAAAAAACTTCAATATACAGGAAACCTGGATGGGGCCAAGACAACCAGCAGCTTCCCCACAAAGCTTCTATCTTACAAATTCTTAATTGGAGAGGTTAATAATACGACAAACAAAGCTCACCATCAAGGCACATTTTATTTATTTTAATTTTATTTATTTTAATGTAAATGTGTTCATTAATACGTTTTGCACAACATTTATTTGTTAACCACAGTCACTTATTTTATTTCAATTATGATTGGTAGAACTTTCTCGAAGTATGTGACATTACTCTTCGAAAATAGCTTGTTCATTACTTTAATTCAAAATACAGTTCAGGTACTTATAACCACAGTGTTGCGATCGAACATCCAATCATGCATTCATGATATTAGCAGAAATTGTAAAAATATGTATTTGGCAGACTAAATAGATCATGCAGTTAAATAATGGTACATCAAAGGATTTTCATACATGGTATCGTACCAATCTTTCATGATATCCATCTTGCCGATTTATTGCGAATGTACATAAACATATTTGTGCAGAGTTCTAAATCTTAAATTTCTTGTACAAATGAGCTTGCTTTCTTGTGTTTTGAACAGTAAAGTATTGACAATCTATGCAGGTCAAATTAATGTGAAATAGCTGTAAAAGAAGTTTTTTTTATTCTATTTTTTCACGATTAAATACAGTAATGTAAGGCCTGATTAAAACCCAATCCAACAACGAATCTGAGGCGTAATCTGAAGCCTATAATTTCCGCTAACCTCAAGGTGGTAATAAAATTGTCACTGGAATTTTTGATCGACAAGTAATACACCAGAATGTTGTTATAAAATAGACTAATTTAATACATTTTGGTTGGTTTGAGAAGCGGAATACGAAACAAACGTGTCAATGCACCGCATGCTTACGCGGCGAATACCGCTTCACTTTAGGAAGCATGTGCATTCAGACATGGAATGATATTAACTGACACTTGTTGATTTCGTGTTTACTATTTAGCCGCTTTGGCCTATCGATCTTGTTATTATTCCCCCAGCGGCGGTTTCATGGTAATAATTTCGTCGGGACTTGAGCCAATTAACGTATTCCTAGTTTGAAATGTGTTTCACTCCTCGGTTTTTGGCGCAAAAACCAGAGCAGCGGGCAGTTGCATTTCACAGCGGGCAGTTGCGTTTCAGAGCGGGCCGGATGAAAAAACCGACCCGCTCAGAAAGGCTCCTCAGCTGATCAGATTGATTGCTTCATTTTCCCCGTAAAAAAAATTCTTGGCTTCGGTGGCGCATTCGTCAGAGCAAGCGCCTTTCACCTCTGAGTTTGTGGGTTCGATTCCTGCTACGGACGGATGTGAAAAGAGTCTGTCTACACTATGCCGAAAGTGGTGGGTTTTCTCCGGGTGCTCCGGTTTCCTCCCAAGGGCAAGTTTGGCGGGTGGGTTAGGGTAATCATAGTTAGGAAAGTAATATCTCATTTGTTGTGTATATGATTTTTTAAGTTTCGTCCTACTCGGCTAAAAATGATCAGGTTGTTGCAATATTGATGTAAACAGGATTCAACAATGTTGTGCTGTCCACGTTGTTCACTGCTGTCAACAATATTGAACAATATTGTTACACCCGATTCGGGCTCAACAATATTGTTCAATATTGTTGACAAGTGTGAACAACATGTTCAGCACAACATTTTTCAATCCTGTTAAACAGCAGGCACATACTCTTTACGCGTGTAGTTCGTGCCTTGTGTTTGTTGAGTTTGTTTAAACGCGTGTTCCGCGTGGTGAATATCTCATTTCAAATTCACCGGATGTGATGCACACTGAAAGTGGTGACACTGATTATTACTGCATGGTGACCCTGGTGGTTTACGAAGCGGACAATTGCGGTGATGCCCAAAAGAGCTACGCCACTGACATGACAGCAATCTTATTCGCAACCCTATAATCTGAACTTTCTCTTTTAGGGCAAAAATTTGCAATGATGGAAGAAAAAGTCGTGCTAGCTTCAATTATACGTCATTTTCATATCAAGTCAACGCAGTTGACTGAGGATATCAAGATAACTCCTGAAATTATTCTTAAGTCCACCAATGGTATTATGGTGAAACTGGAAGCGAGAAATTTATAGAGATTTCTTTGCTCTGTACTCTGATGAAAACAAATAAGTGCAAACCTCGGTCAAATACACCTCTGCTCAACGACACTTCGGTATGCATGGTCACCTAAAGTCGCAGTTCTTCGTTGTCTCGAGGGATGACGTCATCGACCAACAAGGTCTAGATAGGTTGTTGAAGATGACAATCTCTATTTAAGACAGTATTGTGCGCATGTTCTTACATCACGCTTCTCACGAACGACTGTTTCAACATGTATAACCGGCAACGTCGCAACTGTAGATCATCCATGACTGTGGAGGTGATTGCATTGTGGTTGAATCCCCTTGTTGTGAGCTCAGGAGGCCTCCCTTGCTAAAAATGTCATGTCGATTTGAGTTGCCGACTTCCCAATATTTTTTTCAGATTTCATAATTGTAAGATGGAAAGTTCTTTGCAAAGGCACGGTTGAAATACAGGCTGTATAAAAAGTAGACAATTTTGAAACGGCTCTCAATTTCACAAATCCGTTCATTTCATGAATTTTTTGATAAATATAAATTTTTAGGTACTTATAATATAGATTAGGCAAAGATAAATTTTTCCAGAGCAGGGGAGGGGGGCGGCTTTTCTAGCATTAAAAATAGCTTGCGCCCGAAATTTAAAAGTTTTAAACGTATTTTGAATTCATGGGCGAGAAATTTGTTATAAATTGTGTTTTGTCAATGGTCCAAATCTCAGAAAATTTACTCAATTCTAAGTCAATTCTTATATAGCGACTGAAACTTTCATTTTTGGGGACCAATGTCTATCACGCATGCTTATATACTTCATGCATTTACCTAATTTGCATACTGTTATTTTACTTTTTTTACAATAATATTATGGAAAAAAGGTAAATGCACGAATTAAGCTTGCGTGTATCGTATTGGTGCAAAAAAATGAAAGTTTCAGCAACTATTTAAAGACTGAAAATTGAGTAAATTTTCTGATATTTGAACCATTGATAAAACACATAACAAATTTCTCGCTCATAAACTCAAAATGCGTTTTAAACTTTTAAATTTCGCGTATAAGCTATTTTTAATGTTGCTAAAAAGACCTCACTCCTCAAATTTATCTTTACAAAAAATGTTTGCTTATTCTACATTATAAGTACTCAAATAATCATTCTATATATATTTATCAAAAATTTATCAAAACGGATTTGTGAAATTGAGAGCCGTTTCAAAATTGTCTACTTTTTATACATCTTGTATATGGTAAGTATATGATTTTAACTTAAGATTTTGTCACTCCATATATGTATGTTCTGTTACCCCGCCTCCCTATGAGATTCCCCTGGTTATCGTTTTAGTTCTACATCATTGTCTGGAGGGGGCGGGGAGGGGGGGGGCACTAGAAACTGAAACTGGAGTGAAAATAAAAACTGGAGTGTTGACCGAGGATTGCATTTATTTGTATTAATTAATCAGAGTAGAGCAGAAAAAAATGTTTTATATCGACCTTACTGATTTTTAGAAATAATCAAATAGAGGGCAAAATTACTCAAATATGATTGGCTAATGATCAGGGCATTTTTTTGTAATTCAGGGCAATATTACTTGTACCTGATTGGCTGAGACGCAAACGCGCGAAGTTTCATGTTTTAAATGGTGATAAAAACAATGGCTTCTTGCTTTGTCGTTGACGATAAGCTGCTATTGAAGAATTAAAAACTTCTAGTGAGAACTCTAACACTAGAAAATAAAAATTTGTTGGTTGGAGTATTTAAGAATTAAATTTATTTACGATTAAATTGCCCTCTATGATTAACAAGTAATCGTATAGTTCCTCGTAAAATTAAGGTTTAATTTCATTTGTGTTTTCAAAGTTTCACAAATTGCCCTTTGAAAACACGTGTGAAATTAAACCTTATAATTTTACACTCGGCCTCATGCGCTTACTTAAAAGTTTACTTAGTTATCTACTCGAAATTCAGCGAAAATTGTATTCAACAAAGGCATTTTATAAGAAATATTTAATATAATGTTGTCTAATATATGTCACTAATATACAAGATTTTAAATTGAGGGGGGAACAAATTAACTGATAACAATGGGTCATTGCCAAACCCTAGGAACAGATTCTGTGGTTGATTAGTTCCGACAATGAAACGTAATAAATATATCGTTTGTGTTATTACACCCGTTTTCAAAATGACACGACTTACCAGAAAAATAATCTAATTATAGTTCAGATGTCAGTTTTATAATAAAATAGGTACGCACTGCGTACATGTCGCAAGCTTTTGGAATAAAAATTCAATTTGCATTATGAACATAAATATAAAATTAGCCTGCGAACAGGCTCTCAAGCTGAATTGAGAGCCTGCATCGATGACTAATGAATTTGAATATCTGCGTCTCAAATCGTGACGCGAAATTCTCATTGGTCAGATGCTATAATTTATATTATTCCGCTGAGCTCTATATATGTCAACTGCTAGCACTATGCATAAAAAACACATTAACTGATCAAATTGGTCTTGGCCATCTTATCTCAAAGCACGAAATGTTCTGTTTCGAGAAAACAGAATTTAAAACATTTAAACTTTTGCTTCAATATCTTATATTTCGAAAAACAGTATAAACTGTACGGTCTAAATTTAGTTTGCATGGTCTAAATTTAGTTTGCACCAAAGTTGTAAACAACACCATATAAGGATAGACATTCCATATTTGGAAAAACGAACGTTACGGGGCAGATATTCAAATTCATTAGTCATCGATGCAGGCTCTCAATTCAGCTTGAGAGCCTGTTCGCAGGCTAATATAAAATAAAAACTGCGACATACTGATATTTATAATCACTAATATCAAATACTTGATTAAAAGAATGTTCAATGTAACATAAGGTTAATTGTTATGATCCATTAATTTAATAAAGCCCCATTCTAAATGAAAAGTATTTCTATCGATTCAGACCATCTCTGGTACATGTGTGAGCGACAAGAAATCTTTTGGAACATGCTCACTAATGACACTATAAAGATTGTTTCCATTATTAAATTAGAGTTCTATTCATAATTGATGTATCCCACATGTTTGTAGACTTTATTTAATTGCATAAAATCACATAGATCGACAGTGAACACAATGTTTACCAGCGTTATTTCCAAACATCGATGCATTACCTTGATTAACCCACTGAGTCGCATTGCGCCCTACTTTATTATTTCACTCTGTCTAACGCCAGACGATTTTACTTGTGAAAGGGAGAGCGCTGGTGCTTAATGGGTTAAAGTCTGCACAAAGTATGTCATTAATATTGATGGACTGGATTTTCCTCAACATTAGTATTTAGAGAATCTCAATCATAATGGTATATAAACATTACAGCATAAAATCTCAAATTTGTCAGTGGTAAGTAAACTTTGGTTGATTTCAGCCAAATATTATTTTATTCTATTGTTTTTGTGAAACTTTCTATCGTATTTTTTACGCTTGATTTTAGATCAGGTTGCATTTGCGTGAAAGGCAACATATCAAAGTTGAACATTGCCATTGTCCATTGTGTGGGCAAAAATATCAGACCGACTGACATTGTGCTTGGGATATTAACAATCATACCTAGCCATTGTGCGAGTAAAATATTACAAACACAGACTACAGAACAACTGCCAAACAATCTTGCAGGTACAGTACGCAAGTATACTAATACAATACAAAAAACGTTTTACACAGATTTGATAGTGAGAAAGCTAAAGTATGGGTATTTCTGTTGAGAATTATTGAATAAGAATTGGTTTACATTAATCGCATGTTTCAACTGAAAGTATGGCGTTCCGTTGCAGACAATATTATGGAAGTTGTAGATATAATATCAAAGCCAATATTAAGATCATGCCAAAACTCGCAATATAAATATGAAACGTCCCTAATAGTATCAAGTTGTCAAACGTTATAGCAAAGTCAGAGACAATTTATATCAAAACATATGAACAAATATATAAACACACACATGAAATATTAAAATCCGTAATCAAAATGTCAAATTTCCAGTTTCACGCACACCAAAATATCAAAATTTGCACGTCCACACAAAATATCAAATAGTCGAAAGGTTGGTGTTCATCTGCAACCAGTGTTTACGAGCAGAAAATTGGAACAGCAATTAATGCCGAGGAAGTAAAAGTGCCAATTATCAATAGGCAATGCGTCGTGTACAAATTTCAATGTGATCTGTGTGATGCGGATTACAGCGCGACATCTCCACCAACGCATTGCTGAACATAAATCATCAACTATTGGCAGACACTTTTGCGAAGCCCATGAGTGGAAATAAGGATTTACTTAGGGAAGCCTCACATATCGATTTTTTCCACGAGAAACGTCATATGTTCGTTTGGTGGCAGCTGTGACGTTTCTCTGTAAACATCATGGAAAAATTCGATAGTTTTTATCTTTGCAGAATATAAAAAAGAAAACAACTTGATACAAACAGCAGTCTATATATTCGTAATACCATACCTGTTCTATACCTATACATTTATATTATTACGCCTTCCTTGCATTGAAAACACTCAAATTTCAAGAAAAACGCGCTAAAATTATCAATATTTCATGCAAAAAAAGTTGTTTTGATAAACGTTGGAAATTTTGAAGTTTATATATATATATTAATAAAAAAAGAGTATGTCAGCAGAAGATGACATATTCCTCGCGGAAGCATCGCCAATAGCCGACCGAAAAAAATAGTAGAAAATGTACTGTAAGAACAAAATATCGATAACTATGTGTGACGTTTCTAAAGGGGGGGGGGGGTTTCCAGAGAAACGAACATATGACGTTTCTCATGGACAAAATCGATATGTGAGGCTTCCGTTAATGAAAGTCAGTTTCACGTGTTGAGGAAATGCCAGAACAAATTTGATTGTCTCCGGTTTATGAAATGCTTTACATAGAGGAAAAACAAACCTCTTTAAATGTTCAAAGTGACTCCATCCGTGCAAAACTCTTTGTTTAGGACCGTAGGCTTTTATTGCCATTATTTCATTTATATTGTTCGTACTTAGTATTTAAATTCAAACATTTTTAGTTTTAACTGACTTGATAATGACGTTCTGTTAAAGGCCCTGTCACACTATTGCGTATCGTACTAGCGTATGCCAGCGTATGAAAAATATCACTCATACGCCGGTATACGCTGACATACGCTAGGGGTACGTTAGGCATAGGTTGTATACGTTTCAAGCACGGTCGCATACGCTGGCATACGGCGAGGCAGAAAATTTTTTTTAAGCATGTTCGAAAATTTTGTGCGTATTGGACGTATGCTTTATACGATAAGCATACTCTAGGCACACGCTAAATACGCTAGATCAGAGGTACGCCAGGTGTACGGTACTCATACGCTGGCATTTCAAAGGATTTTTGTGCGTCTGAAAATTATTTCGTTAATTTTCATACGCTTCTCATACGTTTCTCTCATACGCAATAGTGTGACAGGGCCTTAACGTCGAAACGTCGTCTAAAAACGTTTTTATCATGTATATAAATAAGTACATTTTATCGCAGAACTTCATAGTAAAATGTCTCAAGAAACCATTACTAATTCGAATAAATGTTGTTATTGGCACAATAATGAAAGTTAACAGAG